AAGCAGTCGCCTTCGGTGGGCACGTGCTTGCAGCCGGGGCAGTTTCCTGAATTCAGTCGCTGTTGTGGTTCTGATGGCGATACAGATTCTGACGAATCCACTGGGGTTTAGAGTTTGGTAGGGAATCGTGGAATATCATCCCTGTATAACCCCTACATAATATACTCCTTTACTCCCTACTTTATTAAGGCCCCATTTAGCAGTTCTAGACCAGAGCAAAATCTTGGTACAGTCACACATGAAAGCGCTACATACGGAACAGGACCAAGCAAGCCTTATGTTGTCGAACGCTAGGTTGGAGCAATTGACCAAGTCCCAGCAAACCTTCCACCCCCCCCACCCAAAAAAAAAGCGGTAATCCTAAAGCCTGAAAGCCAAAACCCTATGCCACCGCCCATTGAACAAAGGCTGCTCCAAACAGGAATCTTCGGCGTATAACGTGATGAAGGACGAAGGCGTACTGCGGCACATCGAGGATTACTCCAGGATTCCCAAGCCGATGAAGGTACTGGTTCTTAGTAAGCATAAGGCAATATAATCCCTATATTATATATTCCCTCATTATTCCCGACTAAGACCGAATAAGTTAAAGCCCATCTGCATTCTTCATGGCCAGATTCCTGCAGATGTTGACGCCGAAGCTTCCGCATCATGGTGTTGGATTTTAAGAAGCACTGAAGCCCCAAACCCTAAAACCATAACCCCAAACCCCAAGTCAGTGGAAACCGGTGCCCTGAAGGGTGCACCTCCTCCGGTGTTGCTTTCGGGCTCCTTCAAGCAGGAATTTGAGGTCTAACCAACCAACTATAGTTCTACAAGGACTTGTGGTTAGAGTTAGACGCGGATACCGTGGTTAGAGCTAGAAGGTTTACTGCTTAGGCTGCTACATTAGACTGGGTCTTCGGTGGACATGATTCTTCTGTTGGATTGGAGGTTTCCATCATCAATGTCCGGGATCTGGCCAGACCCATGATTGCCTGAAACACACATGCAGGGTCTCGATTTCTGTGCGCAGGAGAAATCTGGCGCATCAATCCCAGCCAGGATGGTGGAAGAGAGCCGTCAGGGTTTAGGGTTTGAAGTTTAGGGCTAGTCAAATTCCCGTTGCCTCTATGATTGACGATGACATTTAAAGCTAGTAATCCCTCCCCCAATAATAAATCCGCAATATTCATTCTGAGGAAGGTGTTATTAAGGGTGGTAGTAGTAGTAGTAGTAGTAGTAGGAGGCGCCCCCGCCCCTTACCAACTATGTTGGTTGATATTTTCACTACGGGGTGGGGAGGGGGGGGGTACGGGGGGGAGGGGGGGGAGGGGCTCAACCAATCAACTTCCCCCAAACTTAATGCCTTCCTGCAACCGCTCCAACTAAACAAGATCATTGAGGTTTTCTTGGTATTTTTTGAGAGGCAAGCCAACGTCGATCCATAGGACCACCATTTTGGCCCGCTTTTCTGACTGTACCCCCGAAAATCTTTGATGACAGTGCGTTCACGTTGGCATCTTTTGGAGCCATGGTCCAAGTAAGGCTCACAAAGCAGGCCTTCG